CAATTCCTAACAAGAGGTGTTAAGCAGTTAAATCAGTAGGTGTCTACTATAACATAAAATTAAATCTTTCAGATAAATTATAAAAAATGCCAATCCCTAATTTAAAATGAAAACGGTATGAACAATCTGCAAAAAGGAAAATACACACACAAAAAAGGGAACTATGATTGTCCAATACATTTTAAAAAGGGTTTGACTTTATTTATAGTCCAAAAATACTCTATAAAATAATAGTATATTGCTGGGGAAAATATTTGCCACAATAATGAGGAAACATTAATATCCTTAATATATAAAGAGTTTATAAACACTGAAAATAAAAAATATTAATATGACTTTGAAAGGGTAAAAGATATGCAAAAACTACTCATAAGAGAGAAAGCTTAGAAAGATATCTGTGTTCACGGACTGGAAGACTTAATATTGTTAACATGTCAGTGCTGTCGGGCGCCTGGGTGGCTCAGTTGGTTAAGCGACTGCCTTCGGCTCAGGTCATGATCCTGGAGTCCCTAGATCGAGTCCCGCATCGGGCTCCCTGCTCGGCAGGGAGTCTGCTTCTCCCTCTGACCCTCCCCCCTCTCATGTGCTTGCTCTCTCTCATTCTCTCTCTCTCAAATAAATAAATAAAATCTTTAAAAAAAAAAAACCAAAAAAACATGTCAGTACTGTCTAAAGCAATATACAAATTTAATACAATTCTTACCAAAATCTCAATGGTGTATTTTGCAGAAATAGAAAAGTCCATCCTAAAATTCATATACAATCTCAAGAGATCTGGAATAGTCAAACAATTTTGATTAAAAAAACCCAAAAAACAAAAAACCAAAGTTGGAGATCTCATATTTCATGATTTTAAAACTTATTACAAAGCTTTAGTAATCAAAACAATGTGGTACTGGCATAAAGACAGAAATGTAGATCAATGGAATAGAACAGAAAGCCCCAAAATAAACCCTCATGTATGTGGTCAAAGAATTTTCAACAACAGTGCCAAGGTCATTCAATGAGGAAAGGACATTGAACAAATGTCGGGAAAACTGGATATCTATGTTCAAAATAATGAAGTTACACGCTTACATTACACCATATACAAAAATTAACTCCAAATGAATCAAAGATATAAATCAAAGACATAAAACTATAAAACTCCTAGAAGAAAACATAGGGGAAAACTTCATGACATTGGAATTGGCAATGATTTCTTTTTTTTTTTTTTACTTTATTTATTTATTTGACAGAGAGAAAGAGAGTACAAGCAGGGGGAGCGGCAGGCAGAGGGAGAAGCAGGCTCCCACTGAGCAGAGAGCCCAACTCGAGGCTCGATCCCAGGACCCTGAGATCATGACCTGAGCCAAAGGCAGACACTTAACTGACTGAGCCACCCAGGCGTCCCTGGCAATGATTTCTTAAATATGACACCAAAGCACCGGGAACAAAAGCAATAATAGACAAATGGGACATCAAAGTTAAAAACTTCTGTATATCAAACAACAACAACAAAATAATCAACCCACATAATGAAAAAGTAACCCATGGAATTGGAGAAAATGTTTGCAAATCATATATCTGATAGGGAGTTGATATCCACTACTATCAAGAATTCCTACAACTCAACAATAACAAAAGATAAATAACCCAATTAAAAAACAGGAAAAAAGTTGAACAGACATTTCTCCAAAGAAGATATACAAATGGCCAACAAGTATATTTAAAAGATGCTCAACGTCACTAGTCATTAAAAAAATGCGAATCAAAACTGCACCTCACACCCATTAAGATGGCAGTTATCAAAAACAAGAAAACGGCAAATGTTGGTGGGGATATGGAGCTATTGGAATCTTTGTGCACTGTTGGGGGAGAGGGGGATGGATGTGAAATGGTGCAGTTGCAATGGAAAAGAGTATGGAGTTTACTAAAAAAATTAAAATAGAATTACCACATGATCTAGCAATCTCATTTCTGAGTCTATACCCAAAAATAAATAAATAAATAAATAAATAAATAAATAAATAAATAAATAAATAAATAAATAAAAGCAGGATCTAAAAGAGATAGTTGCACACCCATGTTTATTACAGCATTTATTCACAATAACCTGGAGGTGGAAGCAATTCAAGTGTTCACCAACAGTTGTGGTATATATACATATAATGGAATATTATTCCGCTTTTAAAAAAGAATCCTGTCACATGCAATGACATGGGTGAATCTTGAGGACGTTATGCTAGATGAAATAAGGCAGTCTCAAAAAGACAAATACACAAATACATACTATTCCACTTATATGAGGTATCTAGAATATCCAAACTCACAGAATCAGAAAGAATGATGGTTGCCAAAAGCTTGGGGGAAGGGAGACATGGAGAGTTGTCGTTCAGTAGTTATAAAGTTGTGCAAGATTTTTTAAAAAATATTTTATTTATATATTCGACAGAGAGCACAAGCAAGGGGAGTGGCAGGCAGAGGGAGAGGGAGAAGCAGGCTTCCCGCTGAGCAGGGAGCCCAATGCAGGACTCGATCCCAGGACCCTGGGATCATGACCTGAGCTGAAGGCAGACGCTTAACCGACTGAGCCACCCAGGTGCCCCAAAAGTTGTGCAAGATTAAAAAGTTCTAGAGATCTGCTATATGTGCACATACCTAACACTACTGAACTGTACACTTAAAAATGGCTAAGATGGTAAATTCTATGCTATACCACAAAGAATCTCAGGTGGATTTGTACATGCATTCAAGTCTGAGATACACTCTTCTAGATACTAAAAACCCTGGTATTGTACCTAGGGTTTCAAAGCTTTAATATTCTTAAAAAATATTTCATAGATGTTGTCTGGGAAGTACACCAAAACAGCATTTGAACAAAGCAATGAATAAACTGAAAAGAGATAATGAGTTACAACCTTCCAAAAGAATATTCACCAAGGAGATTTAATGTTGATTTTTCAGACACAATGCAAATAAGGCTTTCACTCATTGACCGCAGTGGAAAATCCCATTATTAAAAATGTACTGATGGTCAAACAAAGAAATTTGGTGATCCCTCTTTCAGGCATAATGATGCACTTGGAAAGATGAAAAAATATATATACTATTCCCATCTGTCAAATTGGCAAATATAAAACATACATACAATGTAAAAAAAAATCATATTGAGAAATAATATACATACAGTAATGGACACAAATTTTAAAGGTAATATTCAATGATTTCTGACCCGCATGCATGCATGTACACACATACACACACACACAGAGTAAAACCACACAAATCAAGGTACAGAACACTTCCAAAACTACAGAAGATTCTCTCATGCCCCTTTCCAGTCAACCTCTCTTGAGAATGTTTTAGAGATAATACTCAGTACTCATAATTATGTTGAGTGACATCCATTTCCATCCATCATTAATTGGTGTGTAATTAGCGGCTGCTTTCTATAAAGCAATTTTATATCATCAAAAGTATTATTAATGTTCAAATTCTTTCTAAGGAAGGAATTGAGCTTCTTAGACTCTGTCATAAGCAAATAACATGAAATGTAATAAAACACATACATATGAGGATGCTTGTCACTGCAAAGATGACATCAAAAAATTAGAAATTGGGGAGATGTAGATCAAAGGATACACACTTTCAGTTGAAGAATAAGTTCGGAGGCAGCATGGTGACTACAGTTAATAACACAGTATTGTATACTTGGAGGTTGCTGAAAGTAATCTTAAGCATTCTCACTACAAAAAAAAAAAAGAGCTAAATATGTGAGGGGATGGATGTGTCAATTACCTTGATCATGGTAATCATGCCAAAATGTATACGTATATCAAATTATCACCCTGAATGCTTTAAATATATACAATTATACTTGTCAATGATTGCTCAGTAAGGTTGGGGAAAAAATAAAGCACACACAAAAACATTAGAAATAGCCTATGCATCCATCATAAGGGAATGGTTAGATTATAGTATAACCACTTGATGAAATAGTTTGCACTCATTTAAAATAAAGGTTTTGAAAATTTTTTCACATGAAAACATATTCACAATGGTCAGGTATTAATTAATAAGGATGAAATGAAATAAGAAATGCAATATGACCCGAATTTTGAAAAACATTACTTTCATGGGGGGAAAAGAGATTAGCTTGGTATTATCTTTAGTTAATATGAATATAGGAAATTTTAATTTTGTTCTTTTGCTTTTTGTATTTTCCAAAATTTTTTATCATCCCATGTGTTGCTTTTGTATTTAGAAGAAAACCTATTTTAAAAAGCAAGCAAGGAAAGTAAACAAATCGCCATCCCCTTTGACGATGAAATAAAAGCTTTCCCATGGTTGACTGCAATTTCCATACAATTTATACTAGAGACTTAAATAATGAAAACAACAAAACACAGAATGGATCAAAAGTCAAATGGACACTTCTATGAAGAATCTCACGACACACCTTGTGTTACAGACAATTGATAAATGTTCAATCATTTCAATGTTTTGTCAAAAGGAAAAGACCATGAAAGCTGCATAAAATTCTGTGCTATTCCTTCAATGGGAAAAAGGGAGGAAATAAAAGAAAAAGCCCAAGCCTATATAATGACTCATTTACACCTTCTTTCCAGAGTTCACACGACAGGTCAAAACCAATCCAATCTGGAAACTTGTGGAGGGAACCCAAAGTCCTTCTAACACCCGTGTAGCACAGATTACATGCATAGGCAAACATCTGACCTTTTAAGGTCCTTTACCAAACAGAAAAAAATTGAGGCCAGAAATTGTACTCCCTGGTGGATCCACAAATAGCTCCCTGCTTTATTTTTTCTAGAAGTGGGAGGGAAAAATAAACTTGCCAAAGTCTGTGCAATATGATCCATATGGTTGGAGGAAAAAGATATTAAAGTTTTAGTTTATATTTATTTTCATGTCACCTTTTAAAACCTTCTATTCTCTCTGTGTACAGAATATGTAAGCACAGTGCTACATGCATATAATTTTTAAATAAATATACATACCTATATTGGGGTGTTCATGCTCATGTTTTTTAATGGCAGGGGTACATGCAAAAAAAAAAAAAAAAAATGGAGACCATTAGTCTAGACCAGAAGAACTTAGCCTCAGTTAACTGTGAAGCATGCTGCAATTAATGTTTTACTAATAGTAGTGAAATACTGTGTCAGCTTGGGATTTTAAGAAAATCAGAACAGATTCAAAATTATTTCTTTCATAGGTAGTATGCTTAAAAAATTTTTTAATTTTAAAGATTTTATATTTATAGCAGTTGTAGGTTCACAGCAAAACTAAGAGGAAGGGGCAGAGATTTCCCATATACTCTCTGCCCCACATATACATAGCCTCCCTTATTGTCAACAGCCCTCATCAGAGAGGTACATTGTAACCGTTGATGAACGTACATTGACACATGATAATCAACCAAAGTCCATAGTTTACATTAAGGTCCACTCTTGGTGTTGTATATTCTATGGGTTTGTATAATGACATGTATCCATTACTACAGTATCATACAGAGTATTTTTCCTACCCTAAAATTCCTCCGTGGTCTCCCTGTTCATCTGTCCCTCCATCCTTCAACCCCTGCAACCACTGATCTTTACTGTCCCTATAGTTTTGCCTTTCCCAGGATATTATATGGTTGGAATCGAACTGTGAAGCCTTTTCAGATTTGCTTTTTTTACTTATTAACATGCATTTAAGCTTCCTCTATGTCTTCGCTTAGCTTGATAAGCTCATCTCTTTTTAATACTGAATAATACTCCATTTAGCATTAAAAAGAAGTGTCTGGATATGCTACAGTTTATTAATCCATTCACCTCCTGAAGGACATCTTGGTTGCTTCCGAGTTTTGGCAATTATGAATAGAGCTGCTAAAAATATCTGTAGGCAGGTTGGTTGTTGGATGTAAGTTTTCAATTCCTTTGGGTAAGTACCAAGGAGCTTGATTGCTAGATCATATGGTAAGAGTACAGTATGTTTAGTTTTCTAAGAACTGCCCAACTGTCTTCCAAAGTAGGTGTACCATTTTACATTCCCACTAGCAATGAATGAGGGTTTCTGGTGTCCCACATCTTCACCAGGATTTGGTGTTGTCTGTATTCTGCAACTGGCCATTCTGATAGATGTGTAGTGGCATTTCATTGCTGTTTTAATTTGCATTTCCCTAATGACATATAATGTGGAATATCTTTTCATGTGCTTATTTGCCATCTGTACATCTTTGGTGAGGTGCCTGTTAAGATCTTTGGCCCATTATTTAATCAGGTTGTTTGATTGCTTATTGTTGAGTTTTAAGAGGTCTTTGTATATTTTGAATAACAGTACTTCATCAGGTGTGTCTTTTGGAAATACTTTTTCCCAGTCTATGGCTTGTCTTCTCTTCTCATTCTCTTGCATAGCAGACATTTTTAATTTTAATGAAGGTCAGCTTATCAATTATTTCTTTCATGGATTGTGCCTTCAGTGTTGGTAGTGTGCTCTTTTGTTCCCCCATGGGAAAAGACAGTCATACAGCTTGCTTCATTTTCTCCAAAGGCCCAAGTCAGCCCTTATTAATGACATACTACTACTAAGCAGGAAAATTGAAAATCATTGCAATGGATTGTTTTCTCATTTTCTCATGAGAAAATTTCTCACTTTTTTGAAAATGAGAAACATGGATAGATATATAGTAGAATATAAACAAAGAATAGACAAAGTATACATAGTTTATAAACAAGAATGGTGCTATGAACATTTCTATTATAATGACATGATAAAATATTATTATTAAACCAAAGCAATGTTTGCATTAATGTTATCGATATTAATGCTAATTTTTAAAAAATTCAACAGATGGCACATTAAAATGTTAAAACAAGTTTTATCCAGGCTTATTCTTCAATTGAAATACTTACTTGCCCTGTTGATATACCTGTGGAGAAATGTGCTAAAAAACAACTTGTTTTGCATTTTAAATAAAGTTTAAAAATTAGACTAGCCCTGTGTTTTCCCATGCTTTATTATAATTTTTGAAATTTCAAATGACTGATTTAATAGATGGATAAAATGATGTATTAATATTAAATCAAGAAAAAAAGTCTTAGTACTATTTTCTTATCTTTGCTATACTATTTTAACTTTTTTCAGTGTCTGGACAGAGCATGAAGGAGTGGCATGGTTGTAACCATCATCTATCATTTGTGAAGTGGGAAAAAGATGAGGGCCTTGGGCCTATAGTTCAGTCCCATCTGAAGAGATAACTTCTTCATTGGTATTCCAGAAAATCTACACTGCTCTTCAATCTTCAGGTAGTTCATGTAAACTAGAATTGCAGATGTGTAGATGGTATCAGGACCTAGAAAGACCCTGAGGTCTAGAGCTAGGAAGAGGAAGATGAGCAGTCAGGGACTGACTACTGTCACAAGTGGATCAATATGTTATTTATTCCAAAGTTTCCTCAGAGATAACCTGACCACTTGTCACAGTAGCATCCTAAGTCAAAGTCTCCAGCTACCCACAGCTTCACTTAGCCATGGATGGGGTCACAAAATGTAATATTAATATGAGAGGACATTTCATTTCCTTTAGATCTCACAGTGATTTCGTCAAGCCTTGAAGGTGTTGCATGTGAGAAGGGCAGAAATCAAAAGCCAAAAGGAAAAAACCAAACTAACCCAAAAGAAACCAACCAAACAACAATAACAAAAACAAACAACAAAGGCTTTCTAGTCTTTGTACTAGAAATGGTGAACAGATGTTCCTCAGATCTACTGAGAAATGGCCTTAAGTTAAAATAATCAGAATTTAGACATATCATAATTTGGGTACAGATGGGATGGAGAGCCCAGGGGGTTAAACATCTAGTTATAAATAGGAAAGCAGAGGTAGTGGGTGAGGATATTTTCAAAGGGGAGGGTTATTTAACATGGGTATGGGTTATTGATGAAGTTTGCTCAATGTACCTTCACTCTTAGTAGATGTTAAAGTCAGATGGACTCTCACCCCTCTGGGCCAGCACAAATTAATTCTCAGGCCTCTCAAGATTTTGAAACTCTAGGATTCTTTGTATAATTACATTTTACTACCAGATTTTCTTATGAAATGTCATGAAATGGACATCTCTCAGAAGTGGGACATCTTAGTCAAAGTAAACCCCACTTCCCTGTTCTTAGCAGGGCCATATATGGACAGCTAACCTAAGATTTGTGATTTGGGGGACAATCTTATGGACATTAAGCAATGATTCTCAACACTGGCTGCACATTATAATTATCTGAAGAACTGTAAAAAATATCAATGTTGCAATACTGTACACTGAAAACTTTTATGAAACATCATTGAAAGCAATTAAAGAAGACCTAAGTTAATGGAAACATCTCAGGTTAATGGACTAGAAGGCTTAATATTGTTAAGATAGCAATACTCTTCACAAGGATATATAGATTCATTGCAATTCCTATCAAAATCCAGGCTGTCTCTTTTTGGTAGAAATTTGACAAGCTGATCCTAAAATTCACATGGAAATATAAGGGACCCAGAATAGCCAAAACAATCTCAAACAAAACAAAACAAAAGAAAAAAAAGTTGTAGGAGTCACCCTTCTTGATTTTAAGCTGACTACAGTAATCAAGACTGCGTGGTACTGGCATAAGGATAGATGTATAGATAAATGAAACAGAATTAAGAGTCTAGAAATAAATCCATATATCTGTGGTGAACTGATTTTTAACAGGGTGTCAAGACATTTGGTGGGGAAGAAACAAAGTTTTCAATGAACAGTGTTGAACTGACTGGATATCCACATGCAAAAGAATTAAATTGGATTCCTACTTCATTCCATACACAAAAATTAACCCAAAATGCACTAAAGACATAAATGTAAGAGGTAAAATTATAAAACTATAGAAGAAAACATAGATGTAAATCTTCATGATTGTAGATTAGGCAATGGTTTCTTAGATTTGATACCAAAAGCACAAGAATTAAGAAAATTAACCAAAATGAAAAACTTTTGCATCAAAGAGTTTAGAAGAAGGTGAAAAGTAACCCATAAAATGGGAAAAAAATATTCGTAAATCATATATCAGATATTATATATCAATACATCTATTGATATTTAGCTATCGATATCTATCTATACTCCAGTATCCAAAATATATAGACTCTTACAACTCAACAATAAAAAAATAATCCAATTTAAAAGATTTTATATAGACATTCCTCCAAAGAAGATATATAAATGAGCAATAAGTACATGAAAAGATGCTCAACATTATTAGTCACAAGGGAAATGCAAATCAAACTATGAGATATTCCTAGAAACATATAAACTCCCAAAACTGAAGCAGGAAGAAATAGAAAATCTGAACAGACTGAGTACCAGCAATGAAATTGAATCAGTAATCAATAAACTCCCAACAAACAAAAGTCCAGGACCAGATGGCTTCACAGATGAATTCTACCAAACATTTAAAGAAGAGTTAACACCTATTCTTTTCAAACTTTTCCAAAAAATAAAAGATGGAAAACTTCCAAATTCATTCTATGAGGCCAACATTACCCTGATACCAAAACCAGATAAAGACACCACACACACAAAAAGAACTACAGGCCAATATCTCTGATGAACATACATGCAAAAATCCTCAACAAAATACTAGCAAATCCAACCCAACAATACACTAAAAAAAAATGATTCACCTTACTGATGCATGAGTGAAAGTAATGGTAGTTGGCAGCATTTGATTGTAAGAAGTCAATAAAGTAATTGTGTTTAAAAAAGAAATGATTCACCAAGATCAAGTGGGATTTATTTCCAGGATACAAGAGTGGTTCAATATTTGCAAATCAAACAAGATGATATATCACATCAACAAGAGAAAGAATAAAAACCATATGATCATCTCAATAGATGCAGTAAAAGCATTTGACAAAGTACAACATCCATTCATGATAAAAACCCCAACAAAGTAGGTTTAGGGGGAACATACCTCAACATAATTAAGGCCATGTATGAAAAACCCACAGCTAACATCCTACTCAATGGGGAAGAACTAAAAGCTTTTCCCTTAAGGTCAGGAACAAGACAAGGATATCCACTTTCCCCACTCTTATTCAACATAGTACTAGAAGTCCTAGCCACAGCAATCAGACAAGAAAAAGAAATAAAAATTCATCCAAATTGGTAAGGAAAAAGTAAAACTGTCACTACTTGCAGATGACATGATATTATATATAGAAAACCCTGAAGATTCCACCAAAAAATTACTAGAACTGATAAAGAATTCAGCAAGGTCACAGGATATAAAATCAATGTACAGAAATCTATTGCATTTCTATACACTAATAATGAAGCAGAAGAAAGAGAAATTAAGAAAACAGTCCCATTTAAAATTGCGTCAAAATAATAAAATGCCCAGGAATAAACTTAACCAAAGAGGCAAAAGATCTGTACTCTGAAAACTATAAAACATGGTAAATAATATTGACAACACAAACAAATGGAAAGATATCTCATGGACTGGAAACCAAATATTGTTAAAATGTCTATATTACCCAAGCAATCTACAAATTTAATGCAATCCCTATCAAAACACCAACAGCATTTTTCATAGAACTAAAACAAAATCCTAAAATTTGTTTAGAACCACAAAAGACCTTGACTAGCCAAAGCAATCTCAAAAAGAAAAACAAAACTGGAGGTACCACCATTCCAGACTTCAAGTTATATCACAAAGCTGTAGTAATCAAAACAGTATGGTACTGGCACAAAAGTAGACACATAGATCAATAGAACCAGATAGAAAGCCCAGAAATAAACCCATAATTATATGGTAAATTAATCTTCAACGAGGAGGAAAAAATATGCAATCGGAAAAAGTCTCTTCAACAAATGGTATTAGGAAAACTGGACAGCTACATGCAAAAGAATGAAACTGAATCACTTTCTTGAACCAAACACAAAAATAAACTCAAAATGAATTAAGAACCTAAATGTGAGACCAGAAACCATAAAAATCCTAGAATAGAGCACAGGTAGTAATTTCTCTGACATTGGTCATAGCAACATCTTTCTAGATATGTCTCCTGTGGCAAGGAAAACAAAAGCAAAAATAAACTATTGGGACTACATCAAAATAAAAAGCTTCTGCACAGCGAAGAAAACAACCAACAAAACTAAAAGACAATCTACTGAATGGGAAAAGATATTTGCAAATGACATATCTGATAAAGGGCTAGTATCTAAAGAAGTTACACAATTCAACATCAAAAAAACCAAATAATCCAATTTAATATGGGGAGAAGACATGAATAGACATTTCTCCAAGAAGATATATAGATGGCCAGCAGACACATGAAAAGATGCTCAACATCACTCATCATCAGGGAAATGTAAATCAAAATCACAATGAGATATCACCTCACACCTGTTAGAATAGCTAAAATCAAAACCTCAGGAAACAACAAGTGTTGACGAGGATATGGAGAAAAAGGAACTCTCATGCACTGTTAGTAGGAATGCAAACTGGTGTAGCCAGTGTGGAAGACAGTATGGAGGTTCCTAAAAAAATTAAAAAAAGAATTACCCTATGATCCAGTAATTGCACTACTAGATATTTACCCAAAGAACATGAAAACATTAATTTGAAGGAATATGTGCACATCTATGTTTATTGCAGCATTATTTAGAATAGCCAAATTATGGAAGCAGCCCAAGTGCCCATCAATAAATGAACAAAGAAGTGGTATGTACATACAATGGAATATTGGTCAGCCATAAAAAAGGATGAAATCTTGCTATTTGCAATGACATATATAGAGCTAGACAGTATATAGAGAGTATAATGCTGAGTGAAATCAGTCAGTCAGAGAAAGACATATGATTTCACTCATATGTGGAATTTAAGAAACAAAGCAAACAAAGAAAAAAAGAAACCAAAAAACCAACTCTTAACTACAGAGAACAAATTGATGGTTATCAGAGGGGTGGGGG